GATCTTAAAATTTTTTGGAAGAAATCACAGGTGGTCCAAGCGTAATACGAGAGTTTGTATGGGAAATAAAGAGTTTGAAACTTAGATAAAATAAATGAACTAAAAGCGATAAAAGCAGGAGCCCATAACCTGATAAAAGTTATTAATAAAGTCAGTTTAAATATTGTTACCTCGTGTCTTTGTGTTTGTTTTTACGAAGTTTCAGCGCGATTTGAGTAATTTTACATCATTTGACCTGAGAGTGTAATAATAAGGGACAAGGTAGGACAGAATCGCCTGATCGACCTTCAGAGCTGCTCAGAATCAGCTCCGAATTTCACCGAAGAAACAAACACACTTACATTTTACGCCACCGAATCCACAAAGTGATGCCTGAAGATCACCTTCCTGCAATCCGTTCCGGTAAACCGTGCGTCTGGATCGCATAACTCGATCGAAAAGATCAACTGCAGTTCAAAAAATCGGCGCCATTTATCCGTGGCTAGTAAAAGTGTAACATTTCAACCGGTTTTGTCGAACACCAAGGTCACGGAATCACCGATAACGAGGTCAGATCAACTGGTTATCGGATAATTGGTGGTGGCTCAGCCGTGTGCAGTCACATTTAAATGCCGAAAGCTGAGAGCAGCTCATTAAGAACAGAAAATAGCAGACCTTCCAGAGGATCGCCTCGAGCCTTCTCCCCCGTTTACGTTCTCAGCAGTAGATTACTTTGGACCCTGGTTCGTGAAGGAAGGTCGGAAGCAGCTAAAAGGATATGGAGTACTATTTACATGCCTATGCTCCCGAGCGATCCACCTTGAAGTTTCAAACACACTTAGCACAGATTCCTTTATAAACGCTTATCGTCGCCTCATCGGTCGCCGTGGACAAGTGCGCCAGCTACGATCTGATCAAGGCACCAACTTTGTTGGGGCGATGAACTAAATCACAACCAGGTAAGAGAAGAGTTGCTGAAAAGACTGTAGCTGTGGTTGGGTGGGGTTTAAGATGAACGTTCCACACGCAAACCACATGGGAGGAGTTTGGGAACGTCAGATACCGATGGTGCAAAGTGTCCCAGCCTCGTTATTAGAACGTCACGGAGGCCAGCTAGATGACGAATCACTGAAAACGTTCATGGTGGAAGCCGAAGCGATCGTTAATTGTCGGCCGTTAACAGTTGATAGCATCAGTTCGTCGCAGTGTTCCGAGCCGCTGACGCCCAACCACTTACTCACCAGGAAGTCAAAGGTTGTCTTACGTTGTTTCAATACACAGGTCACACATACTATAGGTTATATTATTTTTCAATTCGATGGATTATTTTATAGTGTGTTGTACGAGTTTCCTTTCATAGGAACACAACAATAGTATTTGCATTGTACTCGTATTCCTTTCATATATTCATTTATACATAGAGGATATTACACGGTGGCGCGAAGATATAAATTCTATTTTCGAGTGGCAAAAAAACATTTTACGAACGAGCGCAGCGAGTGAGTATAATATTGTTTTTGCCACGAGAAAATAAAATTCATATCTTTAAGCCGCCGTGTAATGTTCTTTTTATTATATAGACAAAAAGACATCGATAAAATAATAGAGCGAAATTACCGAGATTACGTCATCGATAAACTCACGTGTGAGATTATGGAAAATAAACCACTCGGGTCCCGGATGTAGTTTTATGAATTTTACGAGTGGTATATTTTCCAGTAAAACACTCGTGTCTATATAATAAATTGTATTATTCGATCGTAATCATTTGATAATACAAAGTAATACAGTGGAACCCCGTTAATACGACCACCTTCAGGCCATGGAAATTTGGTCGTATTAACGGGGTGGTCGTATTAACGAGGTAGGGTCAAATTCTGGTGCAAAATGCTTTTAAACTACATTCTACTACATGTATACCTTTAATCCGCTATAACTCAACCTTTTTGCAGTTAATTAACAACCTTACAACCGCAATTCACTATGCAACTGAACAATGAAACAGTAAACGAAACCGAGTAATGAGAAAAAACACTTACTTCCTTCAGTTCCTTGTTATGAAAGGAAGGGGCTTGTGAAATATGGGGAAGGATACGGGATGGAAATCCCATGCGTTTACAAGTTTACTAAACAGCCAAGAAACGTTGATATGCTTAACAAAATTATTAGACTTTCCAAATAACCGATGTGTGAGAAAAGAACAGGAAATGGACTTGAAGAGAAAAGTCACAGTGGAAGGCAGCAGAAACAAGAAGGCAAAATAACTTTGAGAGCCTCGAAATGCTGCAAAGTGAAGTTTTCAGATTTTTTGTATTATTTATTCATGCATCCTTTTTATTGAACACTGCAATTTACCGGATGTCATGCTAACCACTAACACTTTTGCCTAAAAACATTCAATAAGATATTAGTAAAATGCGTTATTGTTTGTCAGATTGTGTCTGTTTTCATTCAGCAGCGGCCCCACCGAGCATTTTGACTTGTCGTATTAACGGGGTAATTTTATAAAGAAAATAACGACTCAGGACTCCCAAAAGTGGTCGTTGGTCGTAATAACGGGGTGGTCAGATAAACGGGGTTTTCAGATGAGAAAATGAGTGGGCTTCTGTTCGGGCCACAAAAAAGTGGTAGTAATAACGGGGTGGTCTTATTAACGGGGTGGTCGTATGGCGGGGTTCCACTGTAGTTATTTTCTTTGTATATCTTTTTCATCTGTTTTTGAACCTCTGAAACTTGTTAATTATTAGTTGGACTCTTAAATTCAATACATGAAGCAACCGGCAAAATCCTTATGGAAATTCATGATGATGAGGTCAGGCTGACCGTTCTGGTAACCTATTTTCCAAGAGTTGATACGCTTTGTGGAAGTATCCTGGTTTTCACCCAAGGTTTTACTCGAAGTACAGCACCATGCAAAGTTGTAAGCTTTATGGGCACTTAATCCCATTTAATTTTTCTCACTCCTCGGCCAAATCTACAGAATGAGCTAGAATGTTGACACCCAAACGTAAAGAATGTTTAAGCTATGAGAAAGGTGCTAGATCACAACATGTTTGTGTCCTCCTGTGCTTATGTATTTTGCGCGGAAAGCCAGACCTTTTCAATCCTAACAAAAATACTAGCTAGTTTTGAACCGGCTTAAGCCCCAACCCTAAGCTGATTTTCAATGGACATGAAGATTTGATTTTGGGCCCGAGACCTAACAGAGACGGTTGTGGCCATTTTTTTGAAGCGCGAGGCGATCACAAGCTTTTTTTAAACTGTCAGTGAGAAAGTACTTCTCCTGTTGCTAGTCTAAAACTAACTTCTTTTTCAAACTGGCGGACGGCGCGTCCCAAACAGTTCCATGTAACATATTCTACTCCTGTTCCTAGTCTAAAACCAGCTCTTTTTTCGAACTGGCGGACGGCGCATCCCATACAGTTCGATGTAACATGTCCTACTCCTATTCATAGCCTAAAACTAACTTCTTTATCGAACTGGCGGACGGCATGTGCCATACAGTTCGATGTAACATTTTCTACCCCTTTTCCTAGTTTAAAACTAACTTCTTTTTCGAACTGGCGGGCGGCGCGTCCCATACAGTTCCATGTAACATATTCTACTCCTGTTCCTGGTCTAAAACTGCAATTGTAGCTTTGTTTTCGAACTGGCGGACGGCGTGTCCAATACAGTTCTATGTAACATATCCTACTCTTGTTTATAGCCTAAAACTATCTTCTTTATCGAACTGGCGGACGACGCGTCCCATACAGATCGATGTAACATTTCTACCCCTTTTCCTAGTTTAAAACTAACTTCTTTATCAAACTGGCGGATGGCGCTTCCCATACAGTTGATGTAACATATCCTACTCCTGTTTCTAGCCTAAAACTATTTTCTTTATCGAACTGGCGGACGGCGCGTCCCATACAGTTCGATGTAACATTTTCTACTTCTATTCCTAGTTTAAAACTAACTTCCTTTTCGAACTGGCGGACGGCGCGTCCCATACATTCAATGTAACATTTTCTACCCCTTTTCCTAGTTTAAAACTAACTTCTTTTTCAAACCGGCGGACGGCGTGTGCCATACAGTTCGATATAATATTTTCTACCCCTTTTCCTCATTAATTTGAGGTTCTTTGTAGATCTGTCTCACAGATCTCTAGCAGTTGCCACAGTGTTCTAAAAATCTTTTTAAGGCTATTGAGGGTGGGAAGTAATGGTTGATATGGTTTAACAAAGTTCGAAATAATTTTTCCTCTGTCTTGAAGGATTCATAAAAATAAGTCATATATTACTTAAGGCATACTAAATATAAATGTTCTTTATTTTTATAAAACAGCTATTAGCAAGCCTACTTTTTTATAGTGCTCGACCACAGTAATACATGTACAATACCTTTTGAGCATAGCATGTACTGTTTCTTGTACCAGATTAAATTTAAATAGTTTTATTTTCCTCTAAACTGGCCATGACCTTATAAATTAAGTACATCGTGCTATTAATGTTACTAAGAAAAATATTCTTGCTTATAAATAAGCACTCTTCGTTATACAATTTCATCAACATGATGCTCCTTATTACGAAAGATATAAATCTCAGCAGCTCAGAGAATCAAGTTATATTACAGCCGACAACACTATATATAGGATTATGCCTTCGCTCCTTGGCTATCTTAAAAAATAGTCACGCGCTCGGTGATTCTTTTTTACGTTTTAATAATAATAAAAAAAATTGGTAACCATGGCCACTCCAGAAGAGAAAATGCTGAACATTAAATAAAATCTTTACAGTTGAAGCAGTATATATATTTACAAAACACGGATCAGATGTAGACCTTAGCCAAAGATATAATTAATTGACTCTTTTTAATAACTTCAAAGGCCTCCTTTGTTTCCTCCCTTTTTAGCTAATCCCTAAGGCTGATTATGCGCGATATGTTCCGCCCAATATCGAAAATAAACCTTTCAGCCTGCCGGGTGGCTAATTGCCAAATATTTACTCTATGATCCTATTAAGGACTATTCTCTATCCTGTTTAATTACAAGAAACAGCTTCCTGGATTTCAAAAGTTCTGGTTTCAAAGATGGTTTCTGCACCGATTGGAGTCGTTACCATGTCAACCTCTGTTAAAAATCGAAACCAGGCTTGTCTGTCATAGGTTGTACGGCCCTTTTCCCGCCTCATGGCTGCCTTGCCTGACTCATCACTGACCAGAAACATTTCTGGATTTACAGCCGACTTTATGTTGCAGAAAACATTACTGGCTTTTTCCACGTGAAACAAAAACCTGGCATCAGTGGGCTGGCTTTCAGAGGAACTCTACATTAAAAAAGATTTTGTCAATTTACTATATCGATGTAAACTGGAAAGACCTTGTGAGTCACTGGCGTTAGGTCGTGTAAACTCTTGAGATTGTGTTTTTCTTGCGCTGAAAATAGTTAGATAGATCGTCTCGTTCGATAGTTATCCGTCACGATCTGTAGTATATGAAGGGCAAAGTAGCAGAGGGGCCAATTCAACTCCGCTCTTTCAAATTCCATTTAGCAACCCTAGAGAACTGGGTAAAAAGAAAAATTTTCCATTTTTGTAGGGGAACTTTTTCCACTTGTAAACTTTAAAAAATGCAAGGTTTACAGAAAAGTTCCTTGATAATTCGCCGCAAAACCTGTTGCGGTCTGCATTAGATGAACTAAATTTAACTTCCACCTTGGAAGTCAGTTAACTTTGCATTACAAAGCCATTTTACTTAACTCGTATTGTTACTTACCATTAGAAACACTTCGTTATTCTCTGCACACAGGAAGTATTGTTGGCCCTTTATATAGCACGAGAAGGTGTTGTATCCTGGCATGTCATGCTGCCCAATATAGAATTCTGAAATACATGGGTATACAACAGTTTATGTTTTGGTCACCAGCTGTTAATTATATCTGATACATAAATATAGAATTATACTTCAGTCATGGAAAGTTCGCGCGAACGGTACTTGCGCACGCCAGAAATCTCACTCACTCACTCAATTGATTTCTGATACAAAAACATCGAGAGCGTAGTGGTCGATAGCACCTCCCAGTACTCTTTGCTGAATTGCCCAGAACTGGATCAAATTTTCCCATGCAGAATGGATACCAAATCCCGCCTAAAGCCAGGGGAAAAAGGAGCCAATTCTTATTATAAGATATTGTAGTAGCTCTCTCGCGCGCAAAGCTCGCGCAGCGGAGCACCATGGGTAAGAAAATTTGGTTATCTACGCGTGCAAGAAATTTTGGTTCTGATAAAATTGCCGTACCTACGTTTACCACTTCATTTATGCGGATGTGGAATGGCACACTAGCTAGGAGTTCAAGGCATCTAAACTGAAAAAGGAGAGTTTAAGTAGCGACGTTTTTGAGCGACGCACGTCAACCGGAAGTAGGATTTTTGCACTCTTGATCCGTGATTTTGAAAAAATATTTGAGCAAATCGACTCTATAAGAGTAAAGAAACTTAGCAATACAAATTTGGTAGTGTCAAAGAATATTAAAAGAGAAAAAGGCTAACTTCCGGTTGATGCGCGTAGCTAAAAAATGTCGCTGCTTAAACTCCCTATTATCTGTTTAACTTGTTTTTTCAAAATACCTGTTGTTTGTTCAAAAGCGTTTCCGGTAAATTCCACAGTTATCTTTGCCTCCCTTTCATGACCCTTCTTTGTAACAGCTTTTAAATAAGCTCCTCCTGCGTATTGTCGAACATTCGCCATTATGACTTTACATTGCGTGCTCTCCGCCGAGGTAAGTTCCATCTGTTAAGAAGAGAAAGAAAACGTATCTAAATACAAAATACAATAATTATTGAAGCATGGATTCATTTCCCAGGTGCCTGTTTTCTTATTTCTAAATTTTCTTTCCCGCCGCTTTTGATGTCGACTGTCAAAATTGCAGATAAATATTAACGGCTTACCGTAAAAGGTTTCAAGGTATTTCAAATCTCAATATTTCAGCTGATCTGAAGAATTTTTAAACTAGAAAAGCTACTTTCCATGTTCTCAAAAACACTCTCTCCATAGATTACAACTTGGTTATATCTGAAAATACTTCGACATTTTTTGGGTGAAAGGCCAAAGACAACCTTTAATAAAACAAAACAAGTAACATTGATTTATACAGAACTATTTATTTAAACTCTTGGACTAGATTTCCACATAATAACCGTCAACCGTCAAAAGCTCTAAAATTTAACCGTCAACCGTCAAAATGGAAAAAATGAACAGTGAGCCGTCAAAGGCACCACCCCTATTGAGACCCTCGTCTAATACCTAGTGATTGTTACTCAACGTGAAGCAGGTGGGAAGGAATTAAGCTCGCTCATTTGCTGTATTTAATTCTTTCGTACCTCCTTTGTTTCTCGGACTATTTCCATTACTGGTGACGACATCTTGGCAGGTTTTCTTTGACTTGAACCGTTGAACGTTTAGCTTGGCTTTCGGCTACTTTAATCAGGGACGACTTCAAGATAAATTTGAATTGGTGTTCCACGATGGATGTATTTATTTCCATCTATCACCGGAAGTTATAAATGTAAATGTAAACTTGGGATTCCCAGAATAGTGTTGTGTCACAAGTCGTTTAAACGAAAATGAAAGTTCCAAGACCTTGCTAGCAGGCAAAGGTTTTTGAAATATTCTATAGTCTTCTCTAGTCCTTGCTTGGTTTAAGTAAGACCAATTTCAATGAGCGTCTCTGGTCGCTTGTATAAAAAGTTAATCGTGTTTTGCCTTTTATTACATAGAAGGAACTGAGAGGAAAACGAAACATTCGCAATTAACAACTGGTAAAAACGGTCATTTACGGCCAGGGCCGTTTGAAGCGAATAAAACTGATTCTTTCAGAAAATGAAATTTTTCGCCTTGGAGCTGAAGATTGTTTTAGTTAAGGAAGCCAGCTTTTGTCATTTCTTGTTTAGTGTACTTTTTTCTTTAAGCCGCTGTCATCATCTTGTGTTCCAAAACAAAAAATGATTCAACCTTTTCAGCTTATTTTATTTCATAACGTATAGGACCTCCTGAATTCTATTCTTACTGCTCAAAGGAGTCCCTAGTTTTTTTTTTTTAATTAAACTTGTATTTGTTTGAATTTCCAAGCTTTTTATCAAGAACTTAGATATACTACACCGAGAGAAACACCTTATCCTATCCCCGAGTGAACAGGTCCATGTGTTACAAACGCGCGTGGTCAATTTTGTGTTAACTTTGCAAGCTTCAAAATCACAGTGGACTTTATTAATCTACAAGTTATTAACCATCGTTACACGACCCTATGTAAACACGATTTATCTAGCACAATTTTCTTGCTGAGTTCACTGCGCTGAGTGTGTAATTTACCCGTGCGTCGGTAAAGGTTATTGTTAAAAGGCAATACACCAGGGGATTTTGCAATTAATACAGTCACAGCTGAGTGATCACTCATTAAAGCGCGGTTACCGGCTGCAAAGTTAGATAAAGTGTAGTTAAATAGAGTTAAACTAACTGAATACGTACAAGTCTTGCTGATACTTTCTCATTGGCTGGTTTTCCTGAGTAAACGAGACCTTCCAATCCATGTTGGTTTTTGTACTATGGTGCTTTTTTTTTTTTTTTTTTTTTTTTGAAAATGGATTTTGTTTTTTAGAAAATGGGAGGATGATTTTTCTTTCTGTTTTTTTTTTGGAAAATCGAGTATTGTTCATGGTGTATGTTTAACTTGAAGTTTGTCCCTTGCCTAGTCCCAAGGCCTCCATATTCCGCACAGCCTATGCGTTTCGGGTCGTCTTGAATCGATACGTCACCGAAATGCATCGACCAAGAAGGGTAAGGGACTTAAGGTAAGATTGGCCCCAGGCTATGCACTGTTGTGGACCAAAATGGCGGGAGTGTGCTGACTTGTAATGAAGGAATTAACATTAAAGTTTTTAGCAACAACGTTTGAAGAACAACGTAACGGTGGCCTGGCTGTAGGGACAAAACTGAACAACACAAAAGTGAAAAGAGTGTTAAAAACTCCTGAAACAGAATCACAAAACTCCAAAGCCAAGAAATCACAAAACTTGAAACAGTTGCAAAGAATAACAAAGCTCAAAACACAATCACAAATCTCCAACCCGAAATAAAAGACCTGGAAACAGAATCACACAATTCAAAACAGAAACACATCCCGGCCCAAAACAGAATCACTGACAAAACTCAAAACCGAAGACAGAAACATGTTTCCTAAAACAGAATCGCGCTAAAACTAAAAATGGAAACAAAAAATCAAAAACACGGAGATAAAAAATAGAAAACAGAAAACAAAACCTAAAACAGAATCACACTGACCAAAAACAGAAACATAAATTTTAAAAAAAGGAGCACAAAATGTAAAAATCTCAGTCAATACAATAACTTTATTAACCGACACTCCCAAGAGTGGGGCTATTATTGGTTAATTTACAATAATGATAAGATTTTTAATTACAAGAAAAAAATAATAAATTCCAGCGAAAATACTTAATAATCTTCTAATAAATTATGCAAGCTAGATACAACTAAAATATAAATAAATAAAATCATAATAATAATAACAAAAATGATGACAATAGCAAACATCGATAGCTTTTTACGATCGAAATTTCTCTCCTTGCGGCTTTCTTAAATGATTTTAAGGTCTCCTCACCTAACAACTTGCTGTATCCTTTCTATTCCATGTTATGAATACGTATACAGTAACTCTTTCATGGAAAAGATAGAGATCAACACCCATACTGTGCTCAACAAACAGGACAAAATAGATCAGGTCATCATCATCTTCTTCATCATCATTAATTAGCCTTTGTGATAGAACAAATTTTAAAGGATACAGCAAGTTTTTAGGTGAGGAGATCTCAAGAAACCACCAGGCCCCAGTTGTTCAAAAGGTGGATAGCACTATCCGGTGGATAAATCTCTATCCAGTGGATAGTGCGAATGGTTTCCCAAATACATATCCGCTGGATAGTGATTTATCCGGCAGATAGCACTATCCAACGTTTGAAAAACCATGGCCAAGCTTATAGGAGAGGCCACCTCGACATCGGGGAACATTATAAGAAATAAGGGCTACCAAGAAGTGCGGCTAAACTAATTTAGTAACTATTTTAATACAAACCTCTAGCACTTTGTTCTTAAATATAGAAAAGCTTGACAAATTTGTAATAGATACAGCAAGACAGTTCCAGATTCTAGGACCTTGGTAAAAAATTGTTAATTTCTTGATGCTGGTACGACAGGAATGCACTCGATAATTACTGGCTGTTCTTGTGTCATATCTATGGACTTGACTGTTTGTCATAAACAGATTGAGGAAGAGTGGAGACTGCAAATAATTGTGGTAGCGAAACTTACAGTAAATTTAGCAGTATCGAGACTGGTGCTGACTTGGAAAATATCTAGAATTTCCACCGAGAACTTATTGCATCTTAACCAAACATCAATATTTAGTAACTCATCATTAACCACATTCTCTAAGTAGTTAGGTTTAGAGTGTGAAAAAAAGATACTCGTGTCGTCAGCAAAAAGTAGAAGCTCAGTTAATTTGGAGGCATTAGGAAGATCATTTATAAAACGTATGAAGAATAAAGGGCCTAAGATGGATCCTTGAGGAACGCCACAATTAATGGTCCGCATTGAGGACAAAGTTTGATTAATTTGGACGAATTGCTGACGGCGAGAAAAGTAGCTTTTTATCGACTGCAGAGCCACATCGCGGATATCATAGTGCTCCAGCTTGGAAAATAAATACAATTTGATGATTTAGAAAACTACAAACCCTTAGAAACACCAATGGTAGTAGGAACCTCAAAAAGAGTCAAGAAACTTTAAACGAGATGACAAAACGATGGCTACCTCCGCACACCAAACCCACCACGAATACCGCAATTTCACAAAGATTCACAAACCATCCCAGGTTTGGAGACCGATAATATCAGGCTGCGAACCCAGCAGAAAGAATCTCATCATTTGTTGATAGTCTCCTCCAACCAATCACTAAATCACAAAAGTTATATCTTAAAGATATGACAGACGTCATAGAAACAACAAAGGTGGTGGGAAATTCTATCCTAGTGTCGATGGATGTAACTAGCCTGCACAGGAGGAAGGAAGTACCATTGTATGCAAAGCATACCAAGCCAATACCTCGCCGACATGCTAGGACTTATCCTAAAGGAGAACTCTTTCCAATTTGTTGGGAAAACTATCTCCAAGTACAAGGAACGGCGATGGAAACAAAGGCGGCAATTGCATTTGCAAACATCTTCATGTGAAAAATGGAGACAGAAATTGGCACTCAAAGCCCATATAAACTACTTTAAAAAAGTGTGGACGAGATTTATCGACGATATATTCTGATTGCGGAATATAGACAAAAAGGAAATATACAAAAGTCATCGAACTAGCAAATAACAACCACCCGACCATTTTTGCTACTTGGTCAATTAAATATCGTTCGTCTACATTCAAAGATTTCCCTTCGTTTAAGATGTCTTCAAAGCACTCTAGAAATTATGCCACCTCCTACATACCCGGTTTACTTTACAGATCCTGAAAAGGCAGTCATATAGCTATTTATGAGACAAAGAACCACATCTGGAAAGTTATTCTGACCATCAATCTGAGAACGTTGCACAACGCACAAACGCATACCCTCTGCGATTCCCTCTTGCCAGCCGCCGGCTCACGCCACAGGTAATCCAACTTCGTCTGTGGTAATCTGTGGCAAACCGGACCTTTTTGCTTTTCTTTCCTTCTTCTTTACTCTTCATAGTTTATGTACCTCATACTAAAACAAAAAAGGTTTCCTCTAGAAAGGTGGGGGGAGCCCCCCCCAGACCCCCTCGGTTCCGCCGTCCCTGTCAGAGACCTAGACAGATGAATATAAATCGATGAGATGCCAATATTTTTAAGCTTGTGCATATCTATGAACGCCATGAGGCCAAATAAGACTGGCACACTTAACTGGTGTTTATGCAATTAATTTATGGTTACAAGGACTGGGATTTTACACTGATCAAATAACAAAGTTCGTCAAAAAATTTTCAGTTTTAATTTTCTTTTTTAAAAATAAACAATTAGTTACATGTATAATTATCTAGCTATAAATTTCTTCAGTGTGACAATAGTAATAGTGAGATACTTCTCCGGGTAATACATGCTCCGTTTCTTGCATCACATCTGAAAATACTTACAAATCCATTTGAACTGAACTTAACCTACTAAAATAAGTATATTCTATAAACTAATAGCACTTCAAAATATGTTTACCAACCGAAGCCAATCGTCATGCACTTTTGCGCTGACCGGTACTTGGCGAACCGTCTCCAGAGTCAAAGAATTTAAAAGGATATTAAGTATAAAACACAATCGTAAGCCCTGTAAGTTCACTGTAATTTTGTCTAAGTTGGTAACTGCATTTACAGAGTTTAGGGGACTTGCGTGGACACAGCCTAATTTAACATAATTTGTCCTACAATCTCATCATTCTGACCCTTAAGTACTCAGTCAGTCTTAGATCTATCAAACATATTCTCAGAGGGCCTCCACGTCTTTTTTATAAACCAAAATGCATTATTTTATTGATGTCGGCGAGATTTCTTAACACCATGTGAGAAGGCTATTATATTTCTTATATTTTGAATTAAAGCCACTTACAAATTCTCAGGATAAGTATCTGAAAACGGTGGTTTGCGTTATGCTAAAACTGTTAAAAGTCTAAATTAAAGAATGCTATTTGCATTTTACAATAATTTTAAAACCTGCACCCACGTACCTTCTGGTTGTGAACGCCTATTTTGTTAACCTTTCTTCTTTCCGTGTTTAAACATACTAGAGTATTTGACAAGGAATTAAAACTTTCCTTTGATTTATTGTCACGATAATAGCAAGTGATCTACCTTATATGTGACGTTTTAAAGAAAACCTCTTACTCTACCCCTTGACGCTTCGTGTGACGGTTTTCGATAAACATTAGATTGCAAGCCGAAAGAATGACGCCTTAACATGTCTTTTTAACACCATTGTGTTCAAGGTGAGTAGTCTACAACTCCACGACAAGAGAAAATGTTGATCACCATAAAGCTAAGTTATTAGTTTACAGCTTCTGTTCTTATTAGATCATGAAGTTAAAGTTTAAAAAGACTTACTTAACGGATCCTTTCTGGCATAGCTTGGCATGGCCTTGGGTGGCAGCCAATTTCCAGTCATTTACTTCAGGAACTTAATCAGCTCATTTCACATATTTGTTAGTTAAAGTACAAGTAACAGGCTGGCTGTAAATTAAACATAATAATAATATGAGCCTTACTAAACGTTTTTTAAATGCTCATCGGTGTATCTAGTCCTGGGCGCATGCTGGCTCATTTCCTAGAGATTACTCTATAATCTTATTCAGATCTATTCACATCTTTGTCAATGTACAGGTAACAGCTTCCTGGATTTCATTAATTCTGCCAGGAAAGACTGTATCTTCTCTGATCGGGAATAAACTGAAACCAGGCTTGTCTGTCAGAAGTCGGTCCATCTGTGTGGTCCGTTATCTCCTTCATAGATGCGTTCCCTGACTCATCACTGATCAAAAATTGTTCTGTTTTTGCAGACTGAATGGTAGAATACTTGCTATTCTGCGTTCTTCTATCAACCTTGTCAACCTTGAACAAGAACTTATCATCATTAGGGTCGCAGCCATCGGAACACTGTAAAAAATAAAATAATGAAATTAAAAACTGTTGTTACTACTGCATAATTCATCTAGTCGCATTGCAATATATAATTTGTGGCCTCAACATGTGATTAAAAAACTAATAAACCCACTCACAGCACTAGTTTCCAATTTTTACTCATGGACTCTCTTTCTCGTCACCATCGATCTTATAGCCCTATCTTAAGATTTAATGAAAAGGGCTGATATCTGGGGGCATTCTAGATTAAACATTATACTGAAAGGGTGTGGTTTATCACAGCAGTCTAGTAACTTAACTATATAGTGTTGTACACTGTACATGTTTACGGCTTTGTAAAAAAGTGAAAAACCGAAAAAAAAATATGGTTAGAACCACTCGTACTACTCGCATGCTCTTAAAATTACTCTTAATGAGTTTATGTTGCACTGCCACATGAGATTCTATGTCACGCAATGGTCGGCTACAAGGTTTTATGTTAGCCCGAGTGTGTAAAACCGCCCCCTCCACTGGGAAAAAATCGCCCCTTAGCAGCCCAGTCAAAATCGCCTTTCGTCGGTTCTCCATCTTGTTTAATGAGAAAGAAACAGCTCTTATTTGCAAATCCTTATAAAGATTTAAGGTGTTCAAAAAAACTATGCGATCTGTCATAAATTCTTGTGCGTCACACAACCTGGCCAAATCTTTTTTATTATTAATATATAGATTTAGCCACGGCTAAAAGCGAAGCCCCCATTGATAAATTTATAACTTAAATCAAACAATAGTTTTGTATTCCACAAATCAGTTAACTTAAGGGCACATTCATGTCACTTTTGAGGGAAAAGCTAAGTGATTTTGGAGTGAAACAAATCTTGTATCGAGTTGACTGATATAGCCTTAAATGTACACCCCAAAAATAGTCTCCGGTCACATGTAAGAGCAATAATGGCTCTTGATCACAGTAGATAAGGCGTGGAAAAAAAATCTTGGAAAACAAATAAATAAATCTGGGTGCGTGCCAACCAATCTTTTATATTTTATACACCACATCTGAAGAGAAACAGTACTACGTGGCGCTGTTTTTATCATACAGACCTCGTACAAAATGCAGTATTTCACAATTTTTCAAGACAAATTGCATTCATTCAATATTCAGGACCATCGAAGAACGCGTGGACTTTAACTTTTGACAAGCGCCAAATTTGCGAAGAAATTTTAAAAGAGTTACGCTTCAACGTGATAAAGAATTTATTGAGTCTATTTTTTATTAATGATGTGTAATCTTAAAAAGCGTTTGTTACGCTCGGCATTTTGAGTACTCCTGCAAGCGATGTTTATGAACGGCTAAAAACAAACGGCAAAGCGATGAAAATTACACTTTTGAGACTACCAACAATCAATAAAGAAATATAATTCGGTAGAACATTTACAGAGACAACAATTTTCATTCACGAAAACAAATGACAGTATTTAAGTGTGCCTAAGAATCCTCAAGTCTTTACTAGTAAGCTTAAAGATTAAGTTTATGTTTTAAGCCGCCGGTTTCCCGGTATTTTGCTGTTTTCAAAGATGAACTCACGACAAGAAAATCGCTCAAAGCTTTCTTTCTACAGCCAAAATTATAACTAAATATTCTTCGGAAAGTTTTTTCTTTCTATTTACGGTGAATTAATATCGACCAAAGGCTTTTTAAAGTTCTCTAAGGTTAAGCTTATTTCTAATTAAACCTCATACTAGGTCAGATCAGTGTCTCAGTCAAATCTTAATTCAAACGTGCATAAACTAGCTTCATAAACTTCGCCGCTGGACTTCATGAAATTAGATGTAAATACAATAATTACTCAGGCTTACCATATTTCGAGATGCAGCTCCTGAAAGCTATCAAGAAAGGCAAGGACCGCTTGAACCTTTATAATTCTCGTACGCATCCAGCAAGGTAAAAAACAAAAACGATGCCATCCGAAATCGGATTATCGGCTTTGACAAGCGACGCATTTCACAACCGAAAACCCAATAAACAAACCAGCCATGAATAAGAGAACACTCTTGATAGCAGTTGTATTTCATTTTGTACATCCAGTGGAAAAAGACAGTTAAAAACATCACAAGTTGACTCAAAACTCTGTCAGCTTTAGCTGTTAAAGTAAACAACTTTCAAGATGCTGCATAAATTTTACGCATGAACTCACCTGTCAAATTTTAACCAATCAGAGCATAAAAATTGCACGTAGAGCGTGACCAACGCGTGACCATGGTAAGAAAAGGTCTTCCCCGCCTGTATTTTTAAATAACTGGCTGAATTTTCGTGTCCAAGGTAAGTTTGAAGTCAAAATCTTAATAGTGCTGGGCCATAGTGACATAGACATGACATATTTCATATAAATTTTTAAAACACAAACTTGAGCCTGCGATCATTTGAAAAGTAGTAACTTGTCAGCGGATAACTTCAAAAAATACTCGACCTCGATGGGTCGACACCTGAGCCCGCGATACCGTCAGGTGATACTGGTCAGGGGATATCCTGTTTTGACAGCTGTCAATTGATCACTGCATTGATGTGCAATCAGTTTTCTCCTGGGCTCCCAAACTAGCTAGAAAGTGCGAGAGTAAACATTGGTATGCCTGTGGTGCGGACGGACGGTCGTTCGTTCGTTCGTTCGTTCGGTGTACGGTCACGTGATAACCAAATTTTCTGGGATGGGTAGATTTACTTAGCTATGGGGCTCCGCCCACGCGTGCGCGCTTCGCGCGCGCGTGGAGCTTCGCTATTATTCTACGCAATAACCGGTTTAGTAATGTCAGTCGAGCAAACAGCTTGGACGGATCTATCAATGGTCGACCCTGACCGACGGGGGCCTACTACTAACATGAATGTGTCTGAGTGCATGATGTGACCCCCAAATCTGATGAGTATCACTATGGACTTGCCATTTTACTTAACTCGGATTGTTACTTACCATCAGAAATACTTCGTTATTCTCTGCACACAGGAAGTATTTTTTGTCCTCTATGTAGCACGAGAAGGTGTTTTTTCCTGGGTCACATCGTCCAACAGAGAATTCTGAAATACAAGAAGGACTCAATGGAGATAATGTTAAGAACCTGATTATACAGAAACCAGTGTCTGTTTTGACGAGTTTCGATATATTCGTCTCACAAGAGGCAAATATTATATTCGAAAACTTATTAAGTGAATTTTGGCAGTTCTACCCAATTCAATACTGAATAAGAGCACGGAGGGGTTTCACAGTGCGAAGCTCACTCAAAATTGTTGTACATTCGAACAAACATGACTAATTGAAACGTCTTGAGACTGGCGAGTTACAAGTATCCATGGACGGTAGCCGGAATAACTGTATACAGACTCCCCAGCAGCCGTTTTCGGAGCTTCTTCCTGCTTTAGGATCCTTTAGATGCCAAAACTTTTTGGGGTCGCCAACGACAAATGAAAGCGAATCTTTCCCAACGGCGAAACTGACCTTGCTTCCATCGGCCAATTTCAATCATTGTCAACGGCAAACTGGCGGTTTCTACAATGAACAAGGGCGACTCGCTGTGTCTGAATTTAACTAGAATCGAGGCCAGCTCTCCGCCCGGTCATTCTTCCTTTGAACCCGATCAGTTACGTCATACTTTTACTATAAAGTTTGATGTAACTGAAATTTACCTATCGGTTTTTGTGTTATTCATGTGATCTTTCATTCAACTTTTAGGTTAAAATGAAGCGATGAATAGATTCCACAAAATGAAGGAAGTCGGGTCAGTGCAGTAGGTGCTGAGTAAAATGGAGAGTTGAATAGATTCCACAAGTCGGGTCAGGCCCTATATAGTAAACCCTCTTAAACTCACATGCCAAAGCCAGTCTCCAGTAAAAAATCCCAAACCTCTCAGTGTTATGAAACACACATGCTATTTCATTCTAATATGAGAAAATGCTATTTAAATTTTAGCTTGATATTAATGACTGCATTTTAGTATTATTGAAACACCTATTGTCTGCTTGTTAAATGTTCCCCATAAAGTCCACTGGAATCATCAATTTACAGTCTTGGTCCTTTGCTTCCCTAAAACGTTAACGCTGCACTGGAGCTTTCTCGAACTTTTGAACAAATTATTCTCAGATATTCCATTGATGTGGAGATGAGTTCCGTTTGTCAAGTAGCAAAATACACACTCAGGTTTCTACTGTCAAGACCTAGTATTTTTTCGTTTCTTAATTCTATTTAAATATTAATCTTCCTTGCCCAACTACCAAACAATCATTCAAAGTAAACTTCGTGGATGCAATGTCTGTCGGTTATTAAGCCTTGCCAATTAAGACCGGTTTCCGTTCATGCTTCTTTATTTTCCATGGAAACACTTCGTTTACTGACCACGACCTTCAGACAAAAATGCCTGTTCTCGAACGTCAAACGTTTAACTTGGCTTTGCAGCTTTGGATGATTGCATGATAAATTTGAAGCAGTTGATCCATGAAGAAGGTACCTATGTACAGTACCGCAAATGATCCCCAACCGCAAATGATCCCGAGACCGCAAATGATCCCCAAAATGGACCGCAAATGATCCTCGACCGCAAGTGATCCCCAAAGTCGACCGCAAATGATCCCGTAAGAAAAATAGGAATGACTTGGACTCAAGTTGGCGGATCATCGTGTCGATTTTATTATTATTACCAAAACGTCAGATTAAAAGCTAAATTTTACTTCTCAAATAAATCTATGAATAAAAACTAAATGAAAAAAAAATCATTTAAGTGTAAAAACGAAGTCGGTAGGCAACACACGACTTTTACCTCATGCTAAAATGCTGCTTGTTCCAATGAATTTTTTCCGGATCTGGCGGGTAGATTATACCTCGGAGCAAAACGTTTTGACTGAGCAAATGTAATTTTTGCCGCTTATTTCATACTGAGAGGTCATGACACGCATTTTCTGCGGTTATTGTTGTTTCTGGTCAGCATGATTTGCTCTTTGATGCAAGAGCATTTCCTTTGACCTCTTTTGAAATGCAGTGCCCTTCATTGCCGCTAATTAAGGGTTTTAGGTTGTTTATTTTTTTCCAAAGTGCCTCCTGGATCCGAATAATTATAAGCGGTTTTCTTTCTCGTCCGTGAATATGACAGTTTCCTGCGATGTTTTGTCACGCGGTAACTACCGCTTACCTCGCTTTTGCGTTTCTCATTACCAGGTTTAGATTCCTGGTAACTGTCTCCAGCAAAGGCAAAACAAATGAATATACATAAAAGCGTCAATATAACTATTCGCAACATGTTCATGAGTTGTAAGAAAGTTGCTATTTGGAAATAAACAGAAACCTGTGGACATTGATAAGTTTGGGGGCATTTTGACTTGTGTTTGTGTTAAATCATGTCTTGTTTCGTAACGGTCACCCAAGTTACGAACAAATGTCTTCCTGATTATCACGTAAAATTAACACTTCAGAGAAAAATCAAAATTAAATATTCTGAAAATTAATTAATTTCACACTTTCAAAAAGATCAGTAAAGTCAATAAAGCTCTTGTTATGTAGAGGGTGCCCGGCTTTGTATTCCTCAGCTTCTAGGCGTTAAAATAATAGAGTCTTTTCTGCGTAACGTCCTGCCTGTCTTAAATTCTTCAGCGACGAAACATTCTTGAAAGAAAATTGAAGCAATTGAGGTAAGGTAAGCGGTAGTTATCGCGTGACAGAACATCGTAGGAAACCGTCACATTCACGGACGAAAGAGAAAACCGCCTATAATTATTCGGATCCGGGATTTTAGCATGAGGTAAAAGTCCTCTTTTGCCTACCGACTTCGTTTTTACACTTAAATGATTTTTTTTTTTCATTTAGTTTTTATTCATAGATTTATTTGAGAAGTAAAATTTAGCTTTTAATCTGTCGTTTTGTAATAACAATAAAATCGACACGATGATCCGCCAACTCTTGAGTCCAAGTCATTCCTATTTTTGTTTCGAGATCATTTGCGGTCGACTTTGGGGATCACTTGCGGTCGAGGATCATTTGCGGTCCATTTTGGGGATCATTTGCGGTCTCGGGATCAGTTGCGGTTGGGGATCATTTGCGGTACTGTACACCTATATTGTTATATAATTATTACCGGAAGTTTAATGTAAGTGTGTGTTGGGGATTCCCCGAACAGCGATAAGCTAAATCACGCGCTGCTTTAAAAAGAAAATGAAAGTCTCAGGACTTTTATTGCATCCAGACGTTTTGCAATTGTTTGATCCGCGCTTTGTTACATGAGTAATTGATAGTTTTACTAGAATGTTTCTATGACTAGTGGGAAAAAGCTCCAATAGTATTTACTGCATGTGTTCGGGTTATCACGCTGGGAAAACCCATAGAAAGTGTGGTCTATTGCTTTTATAAAATACCTTAAAGTAAAACTACAATAAACCATAGGTTTCTATTCGACTACTAAATTTCCCAAAATCCTCCGCTAAGAGAAGACAAGAAGTTGCAGAGTCAGCAAGAAATGGAATCGTCATCCTTCAGTTGTCAGGCGTGTAAAGACCAACAGGAACTACAACAGGAGAGGTTGGCTCAGGCAAACGATGAAAACTAAAATACCCATCCTACAGGGCACATTTAATTGTATAAACGTAACATCGCAATCATCGAAGGTAGTAACTGCTGTTGTCTGGCGCTGACATGGAATCAGACGTTATTCTATAAGTGTTCATGATAGGCGTTGAGTTTTATCAACTTAACCTGAACGAGGTAGCGTCTGCACGTTAATAGCCCTGTCACTGAACAGTAAAGTTAACTAAGGTCTAGCGGTTTCCTCTTCACACTGAATTATTTTATAAGGAACCTGAGAGTTGGCTCAGCCCGGGGACCTCCCGCTCTACCGACTAAGAGCTAACGGTGGACTTATCAGTCACGTCACATCTTATGTTGCTTGCATCATACTGTTGCTAAGTTGTATGTAACTGAAATTCACTTATGAATGCTTGTGTTAATCAAGTGACTGTTCCGCACTCTTCACTGAAATCGTGAGCTTTGGTACCGATACCCCCGCTAACCGCATATGCTGGTTTTATTTCAGTAAGTAAATGCTATTAATTTAATTATAAGTTAGTTTATATAAATACCTGTTGAGGGCTTGTGAGTGTTTCCTTTTAAGTCCACTGGAATACGCGACTGCAATAAAACGCCTGGTGCCTCCTTTGCTTCTAAAAATGATGCACTGAAACGTTCTCGAACTTTTGACGATATTCTTCTTTCCTTGCTCTCATTTACCCCGATAAGCTCCGTCTGTAGTGAAACACAAAACAAACATACTATCTTAATGATTAAGGGACTCAAACACCTATCAGTCCCTATAGCTATTTGTGAATTTGCCTTCACTCTTTTAATATAAATCTCGTCTTAACTTAAGGCCACTAAACATTTGTACTGACAATTAAGTGCAAACAACATGCAATTTAATAAATACTCAACATGAACCTGTTGCATGCACAACAGATACAAGAATGACATCGGGTTTAATATTAATTCCTCATACCTCTTCCCTTTCACTGAATATTTCTATTTCTGAGGACGACATTTGCCGCTTTATCTCGAACGTAAAACTTGCTAGCTTGGCTTGGTTGCTTTGGCTGATGGCAAGATAAGGTATCTGATCTAGGATGGATGCTGGTACACCTGTATATATTCTATTATTACCGGAAGTTATCAAACAGTAATGTAAGTTGGGTACTCGAAGAATATTGAAAAGTCACGCGCAGCTTTTCAGCCTAAAAAAGAAAATGAAAAGTCACAGGACTTTCATAACAGCCATGATTTTTGCAATTCCTTGATTCTTCCCACTGAACAGTTGTTACACAACAGAAATGTAAGTTGGGAATTCCAAGAATATTGAAAAGTCACGCGCAGCTTTTCAGACTAAAAAAGGAAAATGAGAAGTCACAGGACTTTCATAGCCTGCGTTGCGGCCGGCCCACGCACTCGTCTAGACAATTAGAAGGTTTAGAGCACGGTCTGCGACGCAGGCAAGACTTTCATAACACCCAGGATTTTTGCAATTCCTCGATTCTTCCTTTGTTGATGCAATAAAACCACCAGCTTTACCAGGCTTCTTTGAACCCTGGGAAAAACGGCTTAGGAGGTTGAAACAAACTGGAAAATTTTAATTTTGATCCCGAGCCCTTGACTTTGTGAAATAAGAGACAGAGACGTTACTTAAACAACCGAATCTCAAAGAACTCGGTGTTAAAATGGCCACCGGAGTTTAGAAAGCTGTCCATGGTATAAAAAATAATATGGGTATATCACCTCAATATAATCCTCGAAGAAAGTACATCTTGGAGCCGCCTAAAGTGTATAAATACAAAACCTATGAACTTAAATCGTGGCGTTATACTGCTGCAAAGATCTGTGCATGAGCGTTAGGTGCTGCCCAGGCTGCGTTGGGTGCTGTCCGTGTGCATGGCACTTGCTCAGTAAAAATTTAGGTTCTTGATGACATATGATGGTTTAAATCGATGTATTCTTGCCGCTCTTCGCTCCATTTTGCGAACCGCTGCGCGATCACCAAATGACGTAATACAAACGACTGAAAAGTCACTGAACAGTCCCTACACAAAAAAAAGTGAACCAACAATAGAGAGATTTAGAGTCACGTAGCCGGCACACGTGAATTTGTACCACGTCACCAAGTTTTCCCTTAACTTGTGCTTTACTGTTCATTTATTTACTTCTGCCCCCCAAATTAGTAGCTTCACAGTAGTTTTGTCTATAGTAATTGTTTTGGACTGTTTTTAGATGCAAGTTTTCTATTTTGAGAAATTCTTAACCTGAATATGACGAATAAATCTCTCTAATCTTTTCCGCAACACCAACAAACTCCCCATTTTCTTGTCGCTAGCTGGGACCTTACGAAACGAGAACGGCGATGGTAACTGGAACTCCAACAACACCATAGGTGGGAAGCAAAACAACTTAACTCTGCGCATTCTTCAGGGTTTTTTTCTGTAAATTTCTTTGCCGTCCCTGCATAAACGACCAAACTACGTACCTTTCTCAATGTGCACGTATTCGAGAACGACGCTCTTTTGAGTAAATATTGTTTTCATTAGTTTTGTGGCTTTATTGCATCAATTTGTTGTCAACTATTACATTTGTGGGTTCAACATAAGTCCATGAACGCTTTTTAACAATACTTTTCCCGTGAGGACAGCTCGTAAAGCCATAAGTTTGTATGCGTTTTAGACTTCAATGGACTCCTCTGGTTACCGTGATAGCCTAATTGAACGCAATTTGCCCACAAACTTATATATCATCATCGATGTTGATCACTCCAAATTAACTTATCGAAATTAAGATCTATACATCTCAGTATGCTCATAACGTTTATTTTTAGACAATATATCGGTAAGAAGTCTACACACCAAATATAGGCTATTTACAGCACTCTTAGAACCAATCATATCTTAACACTTTGTCATTCTTTTTAAAACTCATTTTCCTCTGTTACTTTGTAACCTTCACGCTCTGTGTTGGCTAGCTTTCACATGTTATTCGCCCCGGCCCATGTCAGAGAATCTAAGACAGTCTAGCTTGGATTGTGGAGTCATGGTTTATAATAGCATGCTATCTTTTGTGTTCACCGAGACTTAATTGGTAAACTATCTTCAGAGTCGATATCAAAGTATTAAAACGGATAAATGTAAAACACATGCAGTCATTAACCCATAAAGTTTATGTGCGTTTACAGAGTTCAAGAGACGCGTTGACAGAGCCTAATTCAACACAATTTGTCTTACAATCCCATAAACCTGATACCCCTGCACTAAGATCTATACATCTCAGAAGGCTTGCACGTCTATTTTAAAAGACATTGCATTATTTTATATATCGGTGAGACTTCTAACCACCATGTCATGGTCAGAAGCTAGTAAGGCTATTAACAGTTCTTCTCTTAAAATTTGATTTAATCCAATTACAAATCCCAGGATTAGTATCTGAAAACCGCGATTTGCGTCATGGTAGAACTGGTCACGGGTGACAGGATAAATTAAACAATGCTTTTAGCACTTAATATTAATTTAATAACCGGCACCCATCACCTCCTAGTTGTGAAAACCTGTTTCATTCTTGTTAGCCTTTTTTCTTTCAGTGTTAGAACGTCTAGATACGTCGTACTTTGCAACGAAATTAAAACTTTTCTTTGATTTATGGTCACGATAATAGCAAGTGATCTACCCGCTTGTCTACCGAAGTTTCAATTAACCTCTCACTTAGCGCTCCTTCAGAACGGTTTTTGATTAATATTAGATTTCAAGCCACAATGGTGAGCCTTAACATGCGTCTTAAACACTGCTGTCTACAAGTGAATTGTCCACAACTCCATGCAAGACTAACCAGAGAAAATGTTGATCACAATGAAACTAAGTTTTTTAGTTTACAGCTGTTCTTATTAGATCATGAAGTTAAAGTTTAAAGCGATTACTGAACTTTATCCAGTCCTTTTAAAAATTTTTGCATGGTCACACAAGACCAAAATTTCTTTTATTTTACTTTTTTACCATAATATAATTGTCTTGAGCATTGCTATGTACTATGTTACTAGCCTCTCGATGGCGGTAACGTAGCGGATCCTTCCTGGCATTGCCTTGTGGGTCAGCCAATTGCCAGTCGCTTACTTCAGGATCTTATTCAGCTCTATTCACATATTTGTCAGCCTGAGTAAAAGTACAAGGAACAGGCTGGCTGTCAAAAAAAACATCTAAAATAATATGAGCATCACTTTCTTTTTTAAATACTGTTCTTGGTACGATTTCATTTCCAAGATTTTTCTCTAGAATCTTATTCAGATCTATTCACATCTTTGTCAATGTACAAGTAACAGCTTGCTGGATTTCATAAATTCTGCCTGGAAAAATTTTATCTTCTCTGATCGTGTGCACACTTTTCTCGGCCACCATGTCATCCTCGTGAATAAATTGAAACCAGGCTTGTCTGTCAGAAGTCGGTCCACCTGTGTGGTCCTTTATCTCCTTCATAGATGCGTTCCCTGACTCATCACTGACCAGAAATTTTCCTGTTTTTGCAGACTGAATGGTAAAATACTTGCTACTCTGCGTTCTTGTGTCAACATTGTCAACCCTAAACAAGAACCTGACATCGTTAGGGTCGCGGCCATCGGAACACTATGTGGAATAAATAAAAGAGAAAAGAAAAACTGTTTTTACTTTATCCAGTTGACATCGCAATATATAATTTAAGGGCTCAAGTGATTAAGAAACTAATCAGACCTAATAACGCAGCTCATGATCGGTTTCACATTTTCAGCGCATGTAAAACAATATAAGAAAAGGGTGTGACTTATCACAGCAGTCTAGTACCCTCTTTTTTTTCTATAAGAATGTATTTTATAAGAATATTGAGAATGAAATTTGGGAAACCTTAAGAATATTTTAAGGATAAACTCGGGACTGGGAGTTTCAAAATAAAAAGGACTCAATTTGTATTTGAAAATCTGTAAATAAAGTAAAATTTGCGTTTTTAACTTAACCGTAGAAAATTATTCCTTTCACAAAACGGCAAGAACACTGGTAATTAAAACCCCAATACCTTCTAAAGCGGAAATGCCATTAACTATAATTAATATTTATAATTTGAAAAAATTCAAGGATATTTTCAGCCTATAATCGACAAAAAAATAGGAATATTAAAAAAAAAGGTGAAGAAGATGAGGTGCATGGCTAGAACTACTCACATGCTCTTAAAATACTATTCTCCATCACCTGAAGACATGGATCTTAAGGATCCTTAAGAAAGTCTGTTAGATGAGAAACAGCTTTTTGGTAATCATAATAAAGATTTACAAGAAAGCAATTCGATCTGTCATAAATTCTTGTGCGTCAAAGAACCGGGTTAAAGCTTGTTGTTTATTCTACGCAATAACATCAAAGGAATGTGTCTGAGTGCATGAGGTGACCCCCAAATCTGATGAGCATCTGACTATGGACTTGCCATTTTACTTAACTCTGATTGTTACTTACCATCAGAAATACTTTGTTATTCTTTGCACACAGGAAGTATTTTTTGTCCCCAATGTAGCACGAGAAGGTGTTTTTTCCTGGTTCAGCTTGTCCAATAGAGAATTCTGAAATACAAGAAGGACTCAATGGAGATAATGTTAAGAACCTGATTATGCAACAGAAACGAGTGTCTGTTTTGACGAGTTTCGATATATGCCTCTCACAGGAGACAAAAATTAAAATTGAAAAGTGAATTTTCGCAGCTCCCAATAGCATAAGACCTAATTCAGTGCTGAATAAGGGCACAGATGGGTTTCACAGTGCGAATCTCATTTAAAATTATTGTACAAACGAACAAACGTGACCGATGGAAACGTCTTGAGATCGACTTACAAGTCTGTTGAATCATTATTGACATTATCCATGCCCGGATGCCGGAATAACTGTAGCCTCCCACGCAGTCGTCTTTGGAGCTTCTTGCCGCTTTAGGATCCTTTAGATGCAAGAATAACTGTCGCCTGCGATAAAGGCGAATCTTTCCCAACGAGGCATGACTGCTCTTGCTTCCATCGGTCACTTTCAATCATATGAACAAGGGCCATTCGTGCTGTGAATCGAGGTCAGCTCTCCGCCCGGTCATTTTTCCTTTAAAGCCGATCAGTTACCTTATACTTTTACTATAAAGTTTGATGTAGCTGAAATTCACTTATCAGTTTTTGTGTTATTCATGTGATCTTTCATTCAACTTTTAGTAAAAATGAAGCGATGAATGGATTCCACAAAATGAAGGAAGTCGGGTCAGTGCAGTAGGTGCTAGTCACTCACATACCTAAGCCAGTCTCGAGAATACAAGAATGCTAACCGCTCTCATTGTTATGAAATGCACATGCTACTGGGCTAGTTAATTCCATTCAAATTTAAGAAAATGCCATTTAAATTTTTTAATCATGATTATCTTGATGTCAATGACAGCCTTTTACCTGTTGTCTGCTTGTAAGTGTTCCCCATAAAGTCCACTGGAACCTTTTTTTTACAATCTTGGTCCTTTGCTTCCAAAAACGCTGCACTGGAGCTTTCTCGAACTTCTGAACATATGATTCTCAGATATTCCATTGATGTGGAGATGAGTCCCGTTTGTCAAGAAGCAAAATGCACAGGTTTCTACTGCCAAGACCTCGTATTTTTTTCCTTCCTTTAACTCTAAATCTTCCTCGCTCCAGTGCCTAACGACCACTCAAAGTGAGCTTGATGTATGCACAGCTTGCCGGCTATTAATTCCTTGTTGGTAAGGCCGGTTTCCGTTCGTGCGTCTTTCTTTTCTATGGAAACACTTCTTTAATGACTACGATATTCGCACAAAAGTGCCTGATCTCGAACGTCAAACGTTCAACTTGGTTTTACAGCTTGGATGATTGCACGATAAATTTAAACGGTTGATGCGCGAAGTTGGTACTTATTGTTATAATATTACCGGAAGTTTAATGTAGATGTGTGTTGAGGATTCCCAGAAAAGCGAAAAGTCACGCGCTGCTTTAAAATTGAAAATGAAAAGTCACAGGACCTTTAGCTCTTCCGGAAGTTTTGGAATTGTTTTATCCTCCCTTTGTTATATTAGTATGACTACTGGGAGAAAGCCCCATAGTAATGATTTACTTTATGTGTTCGTGTGCGATTTCATAGATAGAAGGAGCCGCGTTTTCAAGATGTGAAAATTGAAAAATGGTCAATTACGTACGGCTTGTAGTTTGAGGTAAACAAAAGCTAATTCCTTACAATATCTTTTTGAGCAGAGAATATTTTCTAAATGATTACTAGGAAGTGTTCTCTTTACTCACAAAGCTTCTCTGCAGTTTTAAATTTCATCATAGTGTTTGTCTGAAAATATTTTTATCACTATACGGCTGTAAAATAGCTCACTAATTTCGTCTCTGGTAGCCTTTCCCACATTTCCGTGAACTAAAACAACAACTCGAGGCTTGGGTGTGACAAAACTGATACAGAGATTTGCACAAAATTGTACACCCAAGCCTCGATATCATTTCATTGTGTGTTAGGTAATGTGGGAAAGATCCATGGTTATTAATGTTCACACTACTTACTGTAGTAACTGAAATCGAGTACAACATATGTCCTAGATCTTTCTTTTACCAGACAAACTCTTGGAAATTGCTATTCAAAATAATTATTACCTTCTAGAATTAGTACATTCTATCATTAATTATACCTTAATATCACTGACAAAAATATGTTAATTATACATCTCAGACATTGTCCCGTTTAACTTAATTGTCATTATAATTAGTGTCTTCTAAACAGAATATAAACGCTATCTGTAGACGGATTGGTTTATACTAAAACTATTGAAAGTATTTATTTAAGAAAGCTATTGAAAACCCATTTCTCATTATGAACACCTAATTTTTGTGTTTATCCTTTCCGATGTCAGTCTAAGAGAATCCGAAGCACTTTACAACAGTTTTAAACTTCCTGTTGTTTCATGTCGTGGTGATAACATGTACATGTTTAGTATCTTGTCATGTAATTTTTCCCGGCCTGTCTCTCTCTCTTACTGTTTTCGCTCCGTGTTTCTACTACCTATATCCAGGGTTCAGCTGTGTTATGCAGGCTAAATTGTTGCTTGATGGTTTCGTACGCTCTGTCAGGACTTATATATATGCATGCACGTGTCATCCACCTTATGGAGAATTATAATAAAAAGAAGATTAATTTATGTGTCCTTAGCACGCCTTTTTTAGTTTTTTTTTTTACTGTAACAAGAGAACAAGGCTCTACAAGAAGATAGGATGACGCGTTGTTGCGTCAGGTGTACAAATACTGAAACTCGGTAATAAACGACTCATATGGATGAATTACTATCTCCTACAAAAAAAGGAAGAAGCTAGGAATTCCATTGTTGTTATTTTGTAGCGAAATTCTTTGTATCGAGCTATGCGTTTTGCAAACTTGGATGGGATTCTGGATTTTTCTGTTCCGTCAATCATTTTAGTGAAGGTGGGGTTAATGCAAATCACAGTGTGACGTTCTCGTCCAGCTTGGCTGAGAATGACTTTAGCGGCTGTTCAAGAATAGCGAAGGAAATCGCGATGGTGAAAGGATTTTTTATCAAAGGAAGGAACGGGACGTTGCTTTATTCTTGCAAGTGACATTAGAATAAGAAAGATCAGAAAATCTGAGAAGCAAACTTAACTCGTCGATTATTGCCCGAAACAGGACGATCACAAAGCAACGAGCCTTGAAACACGAAACAAACGGGACGGATCGAAATCCACCAATCAAGAATCACAAACCATGACCTTTTGAACTCGTGCAAGTAAACATGTTTTTCCTAAGAGGTCCGCTAACATGATTGACGGAACAGAATAACCCAAAATTTGCAAACCGCACATCGCGATAAAACAAATTTCGCTGTAGTATTGACAGCAAATAAAAAACTAAATTAATAGATTGTAAAAATATCAGTTGTAAAAAAGCAAAATTAAAAATAGAAAGCTCGAACTGAAGAAGGTCAATCTGATGATCACCTAGTGCATAAAACAAGAAGAGTTAAAACTTTTTATTTTAAACTTTGTGGTTAGAATAGACTACTGCATACAGCTATTTCGAGAAAGGGTGTTGAAAAAATGTGCACGTGACAATCCCGAAAAGGTAATATGGGATATGATCAATACACTGTTCCTGACACTGTAGCTGTCGAACTTTTGTTGCTTTCCTTTATATTAGCAATCGTAAAAATAAGTACATGGCCTCTAGAGCCATTCTTGCAAATTTCTTTGAAGAACGGTGAACTCAAAACCAACCACAATACCTTTCGGGATTGTCGCATGTGCTTTTTCCGACAACCTTTCTGCAAAGGCAACCCCTAGGATAAGTTAAACAATTCATCGTGCGTGATTCGATCTCAATTCATTATGTAAGCTAAAAAATAGAGTTAAGTCAGTTTTTCCCTATTCACCCTTTTCTTCCTGGCCTTCTTCCTGACAGTTTCAATGACATGTTTTTGCTTAACTGTGACGTACATTCATATAACACTAGAAGTAAGAACTCATTCCGTTTACCCTACTGCAGGACTGAAAGCAAGGAAATTTTCACTTTGTTTTCAAGGGCCAAAAATATTTAATTCCCTTAGCTCTGAAATTCAGAATGCCTCTAGTATTTCTCTGGTGACTTCTAAACTTAAGTCATTATTTTCGTGGTATAACCACACCAGTTTATTTCTCTTAACGCTTGTGTGTAGTTTTTCGCTTCGTTCGCTTTCTTCTCTCGTGTATACTTGAATTATTTTTTCTTACTTTCTATTATTCGTTTTGAAGTTGCACGTTCAGCCTTATTTATTTCTATCCTATTTAATGATTATTTTCTTCGTTGTAAAGAAATTGTATATGCTTAGTTAAACTGTCTTGCTGATGTCGGTATTTTATTTATTAATTGGGTAAAATATATTTTTAAAGGTGGTTCTATTCATAAGCCTTATTGGCAACCCTGCCTCATCTTTTTGCTAATTTTATGTATATATTTAACTTATATGGCAAAATGATAACAAAACAATTAAAAAGCAATAAACAATTCTTAACGAATACAGATAACAGCTCACTGGATTTCAAAATTTCTGGCTGCAAAGACAGTATCTTTTTCTGACCGTGCGTAAATTGTCGGTCACAGTGTCCTCAATTTTAATTAATCGAAATCAGGCTTGTCTATCTTTAGTCGTGCCCTTCGACTGATCCTTTTTGTAAGTCTCTTCCTCTTTCATAGATGCCTTGCCTGACTCGTCACTGATCAAAAAATTTTTGTTTGTACAGACTGGATCGTAGAATACTTGCTTTCCTGTTTTATGCTGTCAACATTTTCAACTTGGAATAAGAACCTGACATCATGAGCGGGGTCACTCCCAGAGGAACTCTGTTTGCGATAGAAAGATGCGTCAGTAGCTAAACTGAGGTTCAATAGTGTAGCGACACTGGAGTTATGAAGAGGAAGAAACTCGCGGAGAGAACATTAATTAAGTACCCTTTTCCAGGAGTGCCTACAGATTATAAAGGTAGAGTTAGTCACGTTATTCTTAGTTGCTGGTGAGCCTTATGCGACGTACGTGGAAGAGATCAAAGATTTCGAGTAATCCAGAGAGCAAGCAGATTATAAACGAGGTGTGCTTTTAGTAATTGCTTTTTTTTTATTTTCTACATGTCATTATTTTTGCTTGTGGAAGTATTCATCAAGGTGTCGAGCCAGAGCGTTTTAGTGATGAATCTCGAGGAAGACGAGAGGTCATATAAATGTGGATAAATGTGGCTGCTCTATTTGCCGATTCGCGTATAAATGGAGGTGCAAAGATATCGATTAAATCCTCCTTCATGGCGGTAGATTTTCTCTGTGCATTCAGCAGAAGTGATGTGCCTCGCAAAAGTTCTTCTGTTCGGAGTAAACCTGCCGACTCTAGCGTGCTAAAAGTATGGAGAAAAGGGAGGAAAGGTGCGACCGGAGCAAACCAGCTTAGCGTCTAATGCAACTTCGGTACCACACATTCACTTCGCCCGTTGAAGCGTCAAATTTCATCGTTGTGTCAAAATCTCTGCCCGTTTACGTAAATGATTCAGCTAATAATTTGACTACAAGTCAAATTTGTCCGTTGAGGCGACAGAAAAGCGTGGAACCATGGATTCAAAACTGATGTGTAACTATCGCTCTTTGAAGCTAACCCCTGTCTAACCATTTAACTGTATTAAAAATTATTTGACTGTTGCGTTGAAAAGCGCCTACTACACCAGTTCGGCTCCTAGTCTAGTTACTAAATATAATCCCCTGGGCTCGGTTCTTGAAAGGCCGATTAGCGCTAATCTGAGTTAAAAATTTTGTTCCACTTTTTGTGATTTACCTTCCTATGCATTGCTTAGAGTAACATTTTGCCGTGTTATCATATACCTATATCTCCGAGTTAAGGCTAAGTCAGTTTGTTGTAAGCTCGAGTTGCATGTTCTTAGACAAAAAAATCTTGGCGGGAGCTTTAGGGAGCTTAAGTAGAAACGTTTTCGGAGCAACAAACGTTAACCCGAAATGAACTTTCCTCTCAGAGACGCGTACGGTTTGCCCAAGAGTTTGTTCAAAATCACATCTCAAGTGTGCAAAAAAAGTCCACTTCCGGTTGACTTACGTCGCTAAAAAACGTCGCTGCTTGGACTTGATCCGATCAGGGACCTTACGATTCGACGACGGCGGCGTCACTGATACATAG